GTACCTGCGTCTCGCATCTCTGCGCTAATTTCTTTTCCTCATTCCTCACATCCGTGTTTTCAAACAAATCCTGTGGTGCAAGAGGGAGTAATGAGGAGAAAGAAGTGCAGTACTGCCTATCCAACTATTTTATATAAATATAGTTATCGTTAAAGTTAGGGAAGATTATAAATAGTGCAATTAATGAGTGATAAAAGATATAAAGTGAGTGCGCGTTACATAAATAAGATCGGATATTAACGATCGGTTTGGAAGCTAGTCAAACTCAAGTTTAGCGAATAACTCAGATGTAGCTTCCGGTGTTTTATGTACATATGTATAATCGTATGTTGCTCATGCACATAAGGCCGGTTTGCCTTGGCCAAGGTCATTCAAAAAAAGTGTCTTCATTTGAAAAGAAAAACGAGAGGGAACGTTGTGAGTCGCAGCTGGGGCCGCGACTCTACATTTATACCCAACACTCAGTTGGTAAGGCTCCAATCCTCATTCAGTGATCGAATCTGTGCATCGTATCAATTTTACTTCTGATCTTTTGGAACGTTTCGTTGCACCTCTCCTCGAGTTTGTACCAATTTTACCAATGAAAACGTGTGGCGTCGCTGCAAAATATACATAGACGCAAGGAAAATTGGCAAACTCATGATCAACCGATGATGCGGACAATTTCCTGCATCTAAAAATAGAGGCCAAAATTTCTGTGCCAGTCCAATGTACAGGCAAACAAATGGATGAACATACGGCCGGTGAGTGTCAGGGACAGAGGCGATGTCGCAGAGCTGGGCCCAGCCAGGCCTTATCGGGGCCGAACCGTGAAATGCAGCAACGATTGCACCTCGTTCTATGATGATGCAACGGGCCGGCCTGGCGGCGTGTGATGCCGATGACCAGGACAGCAGCATGAACATGAGCATGGGAACGGGCACAGACACAGAAGCGATAAGGCGTCGCGTCCGAAGCGCAGCTTGTAATGTGGGTCAAGCCGGTGGCTAATTTTAGTTATCATTATCAGTTCGCAACGGGAGCCTCAGCGGAGAGGTTCAGTCATTCCAGTTGTCAGTTAACTTCAGCTACGGTCAGAACAGATTAGCTTCGAACTGAACTCAGCCGAACAGCATATCAATAGCATGATGCGACGACAAATGTCCTATCGGTTTGAAGATCAAGACGCCTCCCCATATGGCTTAAGGGTTATACATAATACTGAAACCCAGCTGAAAAATAAAACTAATTTTACCTTCAAATTACTCTTTGCAGATGAATCGACGCTTTTCGAGAGTGGAGTCCGGCGTGGACCTGAAGGATTACTTCGATCGCGGCGATATTGCATCGCGCGAGAACCGCTGGAACTTTGAGGTGGCATGGGAGGTGGCCAACAAGGTGGGCGGCATTTACACAGTCATCAGGTCCAAAGCCTACGTGTCCACCGAAGAGATGGGCGAACAGCTGTGCATGATGGGACCCTACAAGGAGGTCTGTGCCCGCACCGAGATGGAAGAGATGGAGTTTCCGCGTGGCAATCCTCTGCTCGATGCCGTCAATTCGCTGCGATCTCGCGGCTACAAGATCCACACCGGACGCTGGCTGGTGGACGGCAATCCCCAGCTCATTCTGTTTGACATTGGCTCTGCAGCCTGGAAGCTCGACCAGTTCAAGTCGGAGATGTGGGAGAAGTGCCACATTGGAATACCTCATTTGGATATCGAGACTAACGATGCCATCATCCTGGGCTTCATGATCGCCGAGTTCCTTGAAGAGTTCCGCAACTTTGCTGTCACATACTCACAAAACCATGACCTTAATCCGCCCCGGGTTGTTGCCCACTTCCATGAGTGGCAGGCCGGCGTGGCCCTGATTGTGCTGCGCACACGACAGGTGGAAATTGCCACCGTCTTCACCACCCATGCCACTCTGCTGGGTCGCTATTTGTGTGCGGGCAATACGGACTTTTACAACAACATGGATAAGTTCGCTGTGGACGAGGAGGCGGGCAAGAGGCAGATCTACCATCGATACTGCTTGGAGCGGGGCGCCACGCACCTGGCGCATGTGTTTACAACCGTCTCGGAAATTACTGGCTACGAAGCCGAGCATCTGCTCAAGCGCAAGCCGGACATTATCACGCCCAACGGCCTTAACGTGAAGAAGTTCTCGGCCATTCACGAGTTCCAGAACATGCACGCCGTGGCCAAGGAGAAGATCAATGAATTCGTGCGGGGTCATTTCTATGGGTGAGTATATCTGATGCCTACAGAAACACTAATATTCATTCGCCTCAATTTTGTCACACAGCCATATGGACTTTGATTTGGACAAGACGTTGTATTTCTTCATCGCTGGTCGCTACGAGTTCGGCAACAAGGGCGCCGACATCTTCATTGAGGCCCTGGCGCGTGTGAACGCCATGCTGAAGCACGAGCGCCCCGACACCACGGTGGTGGCGTTCCTCATTTTCCCCACCAAGACGAACAACTTTAATGTAGACTCGCTGCGTGGCCATGCGGTGATCAAGCAGCTCCGTGACACCATCAACAACGTGCAGCAGGCGGTTGGTAAGCGCATGTTCGATACATGCGTCAAGGGCCGCCTACCCGAAGTAGGCGATCTGCTGGAGAAGGATGATATGGTGAAAATCAAGCGTTGCATGTACGCCATGCAGCGCGAATCGATGCCGCCGGTGACTACGCACAATGTGGCCGATGACTGGAACGATCCGGTGCTGGCGTCGATTCGTCGCTGTCATCTCTTCAATTCGGTGAACGATCGAGTTAAGATGGTCTTCCATCCAGAGTTCCTAAACTCGTCTAATCCCTTGTTTGGCATCGACTACGAGGAGTTTGTCCGCGGCTGCCATCTGGGCGTCTTCCCCTCCTACTATGAGCCCTGGGGATACACACCCGCCGAGTGCACTGTCATGGGAATACCCAGTGTGACCACGAATCTGTCTGGCTTCGGCTGCTTCATGCAGGAGCACATCAGTGATCCCAAGTCGTATGGCATCTACATCGTCGATCGTCGCTACATTGGCCTCGAGGACAGTATCCAGCAGTTGTCCAGCTTTATGATGGACTTCTCGCGTCTGAATCGCCGCCAGCGTATCATTCAACGCAATCGTACTGAGCGTCTCAGCGATTTGCTCGACTGGCGTACCCTGGGCATTGTATGCATTACTCTTAAACATTTAGACCTTTATTATTTCAATAGTTTCTCCATAATCTTTAACTTTAATTTACAGTACTACAGACAGGCCAGGGTCAAGGCCTTGCAGGCCGTCTATCCGGACTATGTGGATGAGTTAAGCCTATACGGGTCCCGCAGTAACCTGGTCTTCTCGCGCCCCCACAGTGAACCGCCTAGCCCCACCTCATCGCGTAAGTGAAAATTAAGCATTCCAGTCAAGAGATGGGCATGGACTGATATTTTTCGCCACGACCGGTTAAATAATTAATAATAATTTTCCGAGCACGGTCCAGCAAGAAACATTAAAATATCTTTTTTTCCATTCCAATTTCTTTTAAAATCGTCGCCGGCTTATATTATATTATTGATAATAAAGAAACATAGGCATCATTGTTCAAGTTACCGAACAAATGATAAACTATGCACTTTTTTGTTTGTTTAGTTAATTTTTCACATTTTAGTGTGTTTGTGAGTAAGCCATAAACACATGTAACGATTAGTTAGGAGGGAAAAGCTGACCATTAATTTCTTACGCGAATAAATTGGTCGTCGTGGCGATTTTGTGCTGAACGAAGACGTAAGCGTAAGAATTCAATTTTTGAACACGCTCACGACGTGACACAAAGAAAATAAGTTCCATGCCCACCCACCTCTATTGCAGTCCTTCAGTAAAACATTCGAATTTCATTATAATTATCAATAGGTCACACTACCCCGGCCCCATCTGTACATGGCTCAGAAGATGAGGACTCCGTGGACGAAGAGACCGAACTCAAGGAATTGGGCATCAAGTAAAGCCCTTTGTGGACCTTAAGAACCACTTTCAAAATAGTGACGAATAAACCAACAACTAAAAAACCACATACGCGCAATATTACCATAAGTTCTAGTAATTTCGTTTCATCACTTGTTCTTCTAGACGGGCAACAAACTATGGGGAAGTAGCAGCGAGCGCCCCCCTTTTTAACTATACGAAAACCAACTACCTTTATATGCAAAGCAAAGTGCAAGAACAAATGTCTTTAAATCAAATCCAATTCATATGAGATATAAATATATTTAGATCGCTAGAAACTGTTAACCAGAACCATTAAAGCATGAGGAAGTACATTTTATTAAACGTTGTTTAGTCTATAAGCAGAAACACAGGGTCCTACCGCCCTGTGCCCTGTGCTCTACACCCTGCCAATCAAATAAATCGTTATTTAAAGTACATAAACCCTTGTAGCCGATTTGTTTCTTATTAAAATGTGTATTTTACAATTAGTTAAATAAGCATTCTAATTAAATATTAGCAGAGGAAACCATGTGAAATCTTTTTGGTAAGATTACAAAATTTAAGCCACTCTTAATGCTGGGTGTGGCGGCAAATATTCCTCGAAACTCGATTTGTAAATACGAGTATACAATCTTATTATTTGTGTAACTTCTAGAATATATTTCTTCACTCCGTTAATCCGGTTTTAACTAATTTCCAATACTGCAGCTGTTTCCATTCACACCGTTCATGACCTATTTTTCTAATAACACCAACGAAGTGCCATTTGGCCGTTGCATCTCCTTCACTGATCGAGGAAGTGTTAGAGAGCGAGCTAGTCATTCACAGGAAACTTTTTTCCTTCATTCTGGGTATTATGATACCATTGCAACGTGACGAATTAATCTAGTTGATCGATCTGAGAAGCCACGACAGACCAATCTTTGGGTGCATCGGATATTTTTTTACTATTAAAATGTCAATCGAATAATTTAACGTATCTTTAATAAACGTTGGCAAAGTCCGCTTCGAATATACCATATACTATCAAAATTTCATAAGTACCTTCAACTTGTCGAGAAAGCAACTTTATTAAGAAACAAATTATTACGTGGCAAAATACATTATGGCAAATAAAATCAAAGGAATATGGCATGGTTTAAGATCATTTAGAGAGGAGATTATGAGGCGAATGATTCAATTTTGAGTATAAAAAGAATATAAGTACGGAATCCGTTTTAGTTGGAGTTTAATTGCGCTTGCTGTAGGCGGATGGCACAAACTCGTGACGATTTTGACGCCGCCGACGTCGTCGCTGAGCCGGCACGCCATAATCTTCATCTTCCTTTTCCTGTGATGTCAGATCAGGTTGAATGGATGGACTATCTTTTTTGCCATCGGCGTTATTGAGGCAATCATCTATGTTGTCGCCATCACACAGGATCCAGTCATCGCGGGAAGGGATATCGTCGCTGGGCTCCAATCGCGATCCATCGATGATGTTGTTGCTGCAGCCACCAGGGCCACAGTTGGGGAGGGGTGCAAATTGTGGGTATGGATTGTATGGCACATATGGAGCGTAGTACTGGGGCTGGAAGGGAGCCGAATAGCCCAGGAAGCAGCCCGCGCACTGGGCAGGCAGTCCATTCTGAAGAACATAGCCGTACGGCAGATTGAGGCACTGTTGGCAGCTGGAACGCTTCACTTGCTGTACTTGAGCCGGTTCTTGGCCGCAGCTGATATACGGCCAGGAGTTGCCCAGGTAGCGGCAGGGACCAGCAGCTTCAGGGTATTCTGTCCGACGCACGGTGGATTTGCGCCGGCGTGGCACATACTCGATAGTCTCGTGGCACTTGGTGGGTTCGTCCACATCGCACTGGACCACTCGCTTGGCCAACATCACACGGGCCTGGCAGCGCTCGCCACACACTCGCTGGCGACTCTGCTCCTGGCAGTTGTCCTTGCTCTCGCACTCACGCGCCCTCCTCACCACAAAGCAGCAGGAACCCTGGTCGTTGTAGCCCAAACCGAAGCGTCCTCCGACCTGAGATACATTCTGCTGCACCTGGACATTGACCTCGTTGCGATTTTTAATGTCGTGCTGGATGATGTTGTTGATCTCGTTCGTCAGACGGATGATGTTGGTGGTGTTTAGGGGTTTCTGTGCGGGGGCCACGAACTCCGTGTCGTTTACGCCCTGCACCATCAGCGGCTTGTCGTACAGCTCCGGGCACAGCGGACACTCATCCTGGCAGTCCCCATCCCCGCCACACACATCTATGCATTTGTCCCTATTCGCCTGGCACTCCTCGTAGTCCCGCAGCGTGGGCTGATCATAGTTCTGCAATGGAGTGTGCACCACAATCGTGTTGTTCGCCGCCTTGACCGTATCCTCGGCCTGGACTAAGACTGTGGTGAGCAGAACGAGCAGCCATCCAATCGTTGACCGGTGTAGCTATAGCAAAAATATCAATTGGGAAAAGTAGATTAGATTAGGTTCAAGGATAAGGTGATTTTGAAAGGTGTGGCAGTGCAGTTGAAGTACTACTCATTAGTACTTAAATATCCACATTATGGATTCGAGGTTTCCCAATATGCATCTAGAGCAAATATTTCGTACAAATGGTATAAAATGTTCAATTAACTAATAGTTTTTGAATCTCGAAAGTTCCTATTGTTTCCCAAGTAAAATAGGTACCAAATGTGTGGAAGTTAGCTTCCTTACTGGCTAATTTATGCGCCGAAGGTATTATGATAAGACTTCATTGTAGCCAAGGTTGTGCAAAATTATTTATTGTCATCATAATAAGGTGGTTAGTTTTTTATATTTTGTTGGTCTGGTGTTTTTTAAACTTTTTTTTTCAGAGGTAGTGCTTTTTTCACATACAAAAATTGTGTGAAAAAGCCCCAAATCTATCATAAAAATTCGGTTGATTCGCAGCGGAAAAAAGCTATATATATTTTTATAGACTAGTGTTATCAGTTAGACCCAGATCCTTATTACGAGTATGAACTAATTTCCAATTCAATATTGGCTCTGGCGCTATAATACCTCGATTCGCCCTGAGTCTTCGTGCCGGCCATCGAATCGAGGTGCCCATCGAACCAGTATAAGTTCTCCGGGGAATTGTTATAAGGCTCATCCGAACCGTTTTCACCGATAAATAAACCTACCCCAAGCTTGGAGGAGGCACCTGTATTCGGTCCAAAGATTCTCAGACACCAGAATTGTTTACAATTGGGATTGCTCTCTGGGATATATCGAACCATGTGGCAACTGTTGTACTTTTCGGGGTTCATACTCTTCATATGTCATACTCCTCGCACTTTCTCGTCGTATCAAAGGCGTATTCGTCACCCTCATAGGTTTCCCATGATTTACAAGCCCTTAATTATTTTACCTCACCAGAAAACTACTGCCAATCCGATTATGCCATTAAAGTTGACATCATCGGAACATAAATAGAATTCAAACTGGCAGCCATATGTATATTCCGATTTCAGTTACAATAAAATGTTCTGGACGAACTACCATTTCGTTTTAAAGAGTTTATTGCTCACCTTGGTCCGTGACATGGTTCGAGTGGGTCTTTTGTTTTTGCTCTTTCAATCGTTTTCAGTTAATTAATAGAACTTCGTACGTCCGTTGGCGATGAACGGGTAAAGAGAACTGCCATAGCTTGTTCGTTACTTCCTTCTCTATTCCTCGTAGATAACACTAGATAACATTATCAATGAATTGATTATTGCCAAAGCTATCAGTCAACTTCGACTGCATTCGTGTATGCCTTCGGCATACGCGAAACTTTAAACACATGGGAATGTTGATCCATAAATTATTATTATATTAATTGCATAGTGATGGCAAATTCTGTACAACGAACAGACTTTTTTGGCAATTATTGTTGGTAATATTAAGGGGATTCCGGGAGTTCCAATACGGTGCTTCTTAAAAAACCAACACGGTGACGTGTATAAGAGTGTCAGAACTTTTCACTATAACGTCAAGCAGCCAAACCGAACCTTATCAAACTCTTCCGACAGTATAGTCTATATAGTTGGCAATTTTACGACGCTATCTTCGTCTTCCCCTTCGGCTTTACTCAGTTTTTTTATCCGCTTTGTTTGATTCCCTTTCTGTCACAAAAAGTATGAAGCTATTGAGTTCCATAATTTGGCTATGCATAACATTTATCCAATCGCTTAGCGGCTTAGCTCGTATATGCTCTTGATTCTGAGAAGACTATAATAAAGATATAATACATATAAATATACAATAATAAATATAATACACGTATTTCGGGAGACTGCCAGCGGTTTATTCTGAATCAGGATTTAGGTTCTATCTCCTATATGATTTGATTGATTCTGATATGTGCAACATTGACCTTAGGTAATCTTTTTAAGGATAAAATATACTTGTACGAAATATTATAAGGTACAGAATACTTATTTTAAAAAGAATCTTCAAATTTGCACAATATTCAAATATATATTCTGTATTACTGGAACCAGCCATCCTCCGTACGGCACCCGATCTGGCCCGGATACTGGGCACAGTACTGTCCCTGATCGTAGAAAGCGCAACCCTGCCCACTGCACCGATAGGTATAGCAGTACGAGGAGCATGTGGTCACATCGCCCCTACCACAGCCGCTGCAATCATAGAAATCTGCGAAAAGATAAAGAGATCGATAATTAGATATCCACTTGGAAAATTAAAAAGCAGTCGTAATTTGAATAGTCTTAAAACATTTTTGAAAGTTTGATGTTAGGTAGGCAATTCGATACGAATGTGTTCTTTCACTTATGGACAATTTTTACAGGAAATCAATTTCATTCCCCGTATTTCCCCAAAAGGAACCAGGCTCTAAGAAACTACAAAGAGATGAGTTTATCCGACTATAAATACGTTTTTCTGGCCCTAATGCGACAGTTGAATTGTACAAAGTACAGATTTACTTAAAGTCGGCTGCTTAAGCTATATCTAAGTTATATATAAATAATCTTACTCTGGGTCTGTTGGCACGATCCGGGGGCCTGGCACGCCTGTCCCTGCCCCCAGTTCGGTGGCATCACGAGCATCTGGTTATTGTTCATCGTCCAGCTGGTCAGCTGCGAAGGAGTCAGTACCATCTTATTGGCTTGGCAAATGCTGCCGCACTGCTGCTGGCTCCGGCTGGCACATTTGTAGCCCGTGCCATTGGGTGGAGCGCTGCAGATGCGTGGAGCAATCACACTACAACATGGCCCGGTTGATGGTCCGGGCGGAGGAGGTATCTTCTCTACATCCTCCTCCTCCTCATCGTAGTCATGGCCGGGAATCGAGATAGGTGCATCCACATTCACATTGTTAACATTGTTCGTAACCAATTGGCCCGTTGCCTTGCTGAGAATCGTCGTCTCCAGGTGGATGTTTCCCAGTTCCGTAATCTTGGGTCTGTCGCAGCGAAGTCCCGTCCAAACATATCCCTGAGGGCATCGGGTCTGCATACAACGGCCATTCACATAGCGTTGACCTGTTCCACAGAACACCAGGCGACAGATGCCCTTCACCAGAATTGTTCCATGGGGACACATAATGATGGGTGCAGGCGGTGGAGTAGTGGTTGGTGTAGGTGCTGGATACGTTGGAGGAGGATAAGTGGGAGGTGGGGCGTATGTGGGAGGAGGATAAGTGGGAGGTGGGGCGTATGTGGGAGGAGGATAGGTGGGTGGGGCGTATGTGGGAGGAGGATAGGTGGGGGGAGCGTAGGTGGTAGGAGGATAAGTGGGTGGAACCGGAGGATGGCAGGGAGCAGGCTGAACAGGAGTATTCGGACAAGGACTCGGCTGGATAGGCCCGTTGGGGATAGGAAACACTGGTGTATTGGGGCAAGGATTTGGTAGGTTAGGCGTATTGGGGCTAGGACTCGGTTGAATGGGCGTATTGGGACACGGATTCGGTTGGAGTGGTGTATTGGGACTAGGATTCGGGTGAACTGGAGTATTCGGACAAGGACTCGGTTGGATAGGCACGTTGGGAATAGGAAACACTGGTGTATTGGGGCAAGGATTTGGTAGGACAGGCGTATTGGGGCTAGGACTCGGTTGAATGGGCGTATTGGGACACGGATTCGGTTGGAGTGGTGTATTGGGATTAGGATTCGGCTGGACTAGATTATTCGGACAGGGGTTCGGCTGGACTGGTGTATTAGGGCAAGGACTCGATTCGACAGGAGTAGTGGGACAAGGACTCGGTTGGACAGGCGTGTTTTGGCAAGGACTCGGTTGGAGTGGTGTATTGGGACAAGGACTAGGACTCTGGACAGAGCTGCTTGGAGGCAGGGCAGCCAGTCCAGTGCAGCCACCGGTAATCACATTCACAATGGTGCTGGAGCCGGCCTGACCTGAGATTAGACGAGGGTTAAAGATGTCATCCCAAGGGGAAGCGAACTGGAACCGTTCAGCCAACTCACCTGATCCGCATGGGTTGGCGGGTTGCAGGACACAGGGACTCGCGCCGACATTGGTTATAGATGTGCACGGTGAACTGTTCGCGATAACCTCCACGGGAAGATGAGCGACGAAGCTCAGCAGCAGTACTGCCGGCAGGCAGGAAATAAGCACTTGGGTGGTCGACATACCGAGTGGAACTGATGCGAGACTGCGATCTCTCCAGACACTACCTCAACAGGGGCGCCGCAATCTGGCCGCGACCTTCACCTGAACCACTTCTATCGGGGGGTTATCGCGACGTCGACAATTATGTTTCTGGCCTACGTTTTCACTCGATCTGTAGCGATTTTTCGTTAGTCGCGTCCTGGGTTCAGACAGCTGAGCATCGACACACAGTACCGGATCAAAAATATTCAAGATGCTGACGACATCGCCACGCCCAAAGCTCTGGTGCTGGATGTTTTTCTTGGCGATCCACGCATGTGCTCAGAATTACGCGACGGGTTATCAGACATCAGACAACACGGTAAGCTTCAATGCTCAAGGTTCCATTAATAGATTGGACATTTGACTTCGTGATCCCTATTTATTCCTCTATTCCTAGGGTTACTGTCCGCCCGGATATCAGAATGTCAATGGCTATTGCCTGAGATCATTGAATTGTCCCGCGGGTAAGAGCTGCCTGAGAAGGTGCATTTCTAACTGCTTTTACACTTCTGTATATAAATTTCAGGTTATTACCTGGGCACAGATGAAAAGTGCTATCAGCAAAATGCTTTAGTATGTCCGACGGGTAAGTTCTGTTTAGTGAATTTCTATCTGCTTTTACACTTCTGTGTATCCATTTCAGGTTATTACCTGGGCACAGATGGACAGTGCTATCCGCAAAATGCTTTAGTATGTCCCACGGGTAAGTTCTGTTTCAGGATAGTGTCTCCGATGTACGTCCGATGGCATACGTAGAAATATATTTACCTCCTGTATATATATTACATATATTTAAAAGAGAATGCCAAAGACTGAAACAGCAAAATACAATAGCTTGATTCGAATTTCAGTGGAAAACGCTTGTGCGTGTCGAGCATATATTTACATAAAGATGATAGCAGTTGCTTGCATTAGATAGAGCAAAAATATTCGAAGCTTGGATTAAATATGCCTTTTATACATACAAATGTTCGATATCTTCATAACAGGTTACTACCTGAACACAGATGGAAAGTGTTATTTGAAGGATCCGTTGCCCTGTCCGTTTGAGCCCACAACAGTCATTCCTCCGGTCACGACCCAACCCACAACGACAACAACTACAGAAGAACCCTCAACAACAACCACAGAGGAACCGACGACAACAACTACAGAAGAACCCTCAACAACAACCACAGAGGAACCGACGACAACAACCACGGAACCACCACCACCTCCGGTTCCACCAAGAGTTGAACGTCCAGTCGAACTGGCGCGCTGTCCGCCCGGCTCGATCTTCTTCGAGGAGCAATGCCGGAGGATTGTCTGCACGGAGGGTGAATACTACGCAGGGCGCTGCCTGTTGCCGGCTTGTCCGGCTGGCACCGTGTGGCATGGCGGGAGCTGCCAGGAGCCGGGGTATATAACCACTATACTGGAGATCGACAATGTGATCCGGAACCAGCACGAGTATACGGTGGCCACCGAGAACATTAACCGTGTGGAGTACTCCACACTCCCCCCATACGATGAGGCGTACGACAAGAGCTACGATGCCACCACCAGGCATGAGGAATCCAACGATATAATAATAACAACCACAAAGAGACCATGGCTTTATCCTACAGGGCAACCAACGACTATGGCGCTTCCGCCGACATCCGAAGTGTTTCCGGGCCGGAATCCTCCGCCGGGCTGCTGTTTGGTAAAGAGTCCCCGGATCTGCATCAACTACGCGCCCAACTGGGTCTGCTCCAGCCGGGAGCGTAAGTTGTGCGATCCCCGGGTCTGCACCAACTCGGTGATCTATCTCAAGCCGCCGCAGATTGTCGAAAGCGAGAACCGACGACGCCTCGTGATGCCGCCCAATCCTCCGCTGCAGGCCTGCAGTACGCCCGAGTGCAAGGAGAGCGGTAAGTGAGAGCTGCCTAATCCTGAACATCATTAAATTATTCGTTCAATTCGACTGCAGAATTCCTGGACTGCTCTGGCTGCAAGCACGACCAGCGGGACAAATGCTCACCGAGCTGCTACAGCTACTACTGTCCCAACGGCAGCTGCTCCTTCATGAACTCCCAGGACTATTGCGGCATCTATCCCAGCGGATTCGGCTGTAACGCCGACGATGGTTGCATCTGGGACTGGTGCCACAAGAAGTGCTATTAAACGATCAGCCAACGGGCTGATCCAAATAAATGTTTCCATCTATCTAATCTATAAATGAAGTAAGTATGAAGAAGTAAAATGAGAATAAAATAGTGTTCGAAGTGTTGCAACAATAAAATATGCCATTTATTTGCTGTTTCAAGTTCCATTTATTCCAATGAGATAAAGGAGATGACAGATCATACTTAAATAATTATCCTAACTTTATAGTCCAGTCCAAATTAAAAAAAAAATGTATATGTACATTGTAAGGAAGCGATCCTGGCTGGGGTACACATTTCAGTCTACATCCAGGGTCGAAACTAAAGCCATATTCGTAATTTGCCGGGACTCCGAGTCTCGGGCCTACAATGGTGGACGGCGGACCAGTCCTACGAGGGGGCGATAGAGGCGAGGGGCGTGTGCGGCTCTGACGGGCGTCCTAAATGGACTGGAGGGGACAACCAGGTAGCCCTTATGAGGGTAGTGGGCGGCCAACTCCAAGGCCTGGGGGAACCTCACGGGGTGTACAGACGAATCCCGCCGAGAGCATTTAGGTAATCGCCAGATCTCGTTTTCTGGGTCCTACCACGGATTCCAATTACCACGGAGGTCTTTACCAAGCGGGGATACCGACAGGTATCGTCGAGAGTGCCTAGGCTATCGCCGAATTGTACTTACTTACTGAATATGTATGACTGGAAAATTAATGTTATACCAGAGTATGTAAAGACTGGAAAAATGTATAACACTGTACGATCAACCACATTTCCCATATTTGGAAAATGAAAGATCGCTGGTGAGGAAGAGTGTTTTCTTCCGAAACAGTTTATATAAAGTTTGTATTTTTCTAGCGAATTAACATGCTTACAGATTTCTACAGTGGCAGCTTTAATTGTGAAGCGAGAGAGTTTATGTCAGCAACCAAAAGCAATATCAATTTGCAGTGGCTACGCAGCGCCTGACGTCACGCTCAGACTGATTTTCTGTAGAGTTGCGGTGTCCGCAGCAACTCACAGCGTTCCCCCTCGGTTTTTTTTTCATTCCGCTGGCAGCTTGCAACGGTCTCTTCATCTGCGAACTAGTTCGATTGCCCGATTACCCGGCGAACCAGCTCAATGCGCCGGCTGTTCCAATCGAACTGGTGGGGGCTCCGGTTCCGGCTCCGGTCCAGCCGGTTGGGGTTCGTGGAGTCCACGAATCAACGGGGCTTTTTAGTCGTACCGAACAACTAATCGAACGCACTCACTCGTCGCGTCACGAGCAGAAAACGGACGGACGTGCGCGCGTTTTGGCTTTTCCCTCTGTGGGCTTGTGTGTCTTTGCGTGTCGGTAAAAAACAGAAAACCAAAAGCAAAGTAAAGTGTGTTTGAATTAAATCAAAGCCATCGAGAAACAGCGCGACGTTTGTGTTTGCAAATACAAAAGTAAAAAGTAAAAAAGTATAAACGTCAAAGTGTCGTAGAAGCAGAGGCAGCAACAACAACAAGAGTGCATTAATTGCATCTCTGCACCTCCGCCCCCTGCCCAAACGTCATCACACCTAAATTGTTGTTGCGCTCGCAGTTGGCGGCGTCTACTTGGTGAAGCACGAACCGAATGTGAGAGAGGTACGCGTCATACATGCATGAGTATGAGTGTGTGTGTGCGTGTGCAGCGTGCAGTAATAATATTTAATAAACAAAATTGTGCCTGCCCGTTCGTTGTATAAGAAATTGTTTATGCAAAAAAGTATCTAGTTAAATTGTATGATTCTCTATTTTCCCGACTTGCTCTCTGTTTCTACCCGTCCCCCTCGCTACTCTCTGTCTGTCTTGTTCTACCCTTTCCATGGTGTTAATTGAAAGAAAAACAAAAACAACAAAAAATCAACAACAAACTTCCTGTGCCTTCTGCCTCTCTCACTCTTACTCCGCGTCATAACTGTTGCCAGTTGCCATCTCTTTTCCCGGTTGCCGCAGACAACAAGAGCATTATTGTGGCAGTGGCAGTCAGTGCCTCACCCGTCACCCGTCAGCCCTCACCCCATCCTCCCGCCCACGCACACACAAAACTTTAGCGTTGGCTCGTTGAGGAGTGGGAAGGGGAATGGGAATGGGAGAGGGTGTATGTGTGTGTATGCATGTGTGTTAGTAAGAAAGTTTTTTGTATTTGCTTTTGTGATTTTTGCTGCCATTCAGTTGCCCTGCCTGCTCACTCTCTCTGGCTCTCTCGCTGTTTGATATTTGCCAGAAGAGTGCGGAAGTGCAGGGGGTTGAGGAGTCGTTGAAGTTTTTAGTGCTGCATTCTATACTCTCCTCTCTCCACTTTCCACCTCTTCTAACATCTTTAGCAGACGCCGCTCCAGCGGGAGCTTTTATAACGTGTGTGTGAGTGTGTGCTATTATTAAACTCCCTCCCTAACACGCATACAACTATGTTGTGTAAGTGTGTGTGTGTGTGTGTGTGTGAGGCGTTGGCGTTTTGACCAGAAGCTGAAGAAGAGGAAGAATAAGCAGCAGCCCCAGCAGTAGTTCTGTGCAACAAAAGGGGAGAGGTAGAAGAAGAGAGAGAGAGTGAGAGTGGTAGCGAGCATGTACAGATTGTGGAAGAAGGGTCCGGGCAGTGCAGTTAATAAATAAATCAAATGAAACATAAAAATAATATATGTATGTTTGGAAATCAACAAACATGCCAGAGAAAAGAACAGGCATTTTTACGTTCAATCTTTCGTACAACCCCAGCCGTCTTTTCCTCAAGCAGCGACTCCCTGCAATAAACCGTTTTACGATCTTCTGCTCTCCCTCTCCCTCGTCCTCGTCTCGTACGCCCTTCCCACTTGTTGTTTTTATGACAGTTAAGCTATTTGCCGTATGACATGCATGTATGACAGATGCCAGCGTCCCGCTATGCGGCGACTGTCAACACTGCCATTAAATGCAGGCCTGGCGTCGCTCCCTCTCCCTCTCCAGGAGCTCTCTTCAACCCACTGTCACAATGCCCTCCATCTCCCCTACAGATCTCTTCAGTCTATTCCCAGATCTGCTCATCTCCTCGCACACACTCTTCGCCAAAAAAAACTTTGTGTTTGTTGCCAGGCATTTTAATTACGGTGAGGGGCGGGCGGGTGTGTCTGCGGGCGCGGGTGTGTGGTGCGAAAGGGTGTCTGATGGGGCGGCACGGCACAGACACAGTGTGGCCGTCTTTTCGCAGCTACTTTTACGCATGTTTTCGCGCAGAGACGCAAAAAGCAGGCGGCTTTCGGCTTGACATAAATTGTTGCTGCCAAATGTGGCAACAACCACAGCAAGAAACTGGGCCACGCCTACAGAAACGAAACCCATAAGCAACAAACATCAAATATCAACAGCAGAACCAGCAACAACAAACAACTGCCGCTTGGCTTGTCGCATGTAATTGCTTGCCACAAAGTAAATGACAATACCAAGGGGGGGAAGAAAAAAACGACACCGTCACAGGCACAGTGGTGCAATATGATGGGATATGACCAGAGTAGATTCAATAGCTAACACCGATTCAAAATTCGAAAGCAGCGAACAAAATTTTTGTTTGTGCTTAATATTTATCTTTGGGGTTCGCTCACATTAAAAAAAAAAACAAAACACAAATGTAATTATATTGCAGCCCCTTTTCTTTGCCTACCCATTCCACTGTGCGAGGGTCTTCTGTGTAACTAAAAACCGCAAAAGCTTGTCACTCCCTCTTCCCCATCTCCCTTTCCCATACACCATATACAATCTCTCGTGTTCTCGCCCGCTCACACACTTCTATGCCGTCGAAGTTGTTTGCTTCCGCTCTCGCGGTTTTTGCCTGTTCGTGTGTGTGTGTGTGTGTGCTGTAAAAGTATCTCTTGGCGGACTGTACGTGGGCGGCAGCATTAGAAAAAAAACAAACCTCAAGCCTCAAGTTCCAATTGAAGCTTTAAAAAACATACTTGGCAGATGACGTCGTCGTGCCGCCGTCCTCTTTGTATGGGATTGTAGTCAATCAAATTTCAAACGTAGCCCCCGCTTTGACGCACTCCGATTGTATTCGATTTTGAATCCGATTCTGGCTTTGCCAGGCACACACATAAATAGACACTGCAACGCACTGTGCAAAACACTGTGCCGCACAGACTACCAGGCAAAAAACTGATAGGGCAAACAAACACGCAAAATATTTGCGTATCGAATATCGCTTTTGGGTTACCATTCCCCGTACATTGGTTTTTTCTTTAATACCTACGTATACCCTTACGGGGGGTATTATAACAAGTTTAGGCGGAAGACTGTCTTCAATTTAAAAGACTAAGAAAACCTAAGAAAACATTTGCATTAATCTTAAAGCTCTGGAAGACTTATCGGATGACTACAATCAATGAAAATCAGGTGCCATTGAATCTTAACATTTATCAACATTTGAGACTCTCAGCTCCTCAGCTCCATATATTTTGAATATAATAATAACAATATAATAATAATCAATTAGAGGGTTCCGTTTTTTAAGGGTATACAAAGTTTCGTTCGAGCCGAAACCCCGTTCTGTTTGCATGCATTATTTTCAGTTATTTATTATTTTTTTGGTCAAAGCTTTTGGCCATTTAATATTCATTTATTCAGCCATGTTTATTTATTTATTTTCGTGTCTCTTTCTCTCTCTGTCTCTATGGCTGAAAGACCAACCGAAACTGAAAACGTACAATCGCATGCTACGAGTAGCCATGGCCATGATTTTGATTTTGATTTTGATTTTGATTTTTTTTTAAGCAGGCAATAAGCGACAAAAGGCAGAGTCAACAGAAAACCAACAACAGAAATACAATATAAAGTCAAATAAAGAGGCACTTGGCATCTTTTCGATACCTTTGTGGGAGGGTCATCGATTACTTTGACACTCTGATGTTGTTGTACTCGTTGTACTCTGCTTATTGGGTTGCTTGGTCTTTTTATGGTCTATTAGCGGAAGTTTATTGTTCGTAGTCCAAGTCATGAAGGGCCGAGTGGAGACTGATACTCTCGACTTTCATTTGTTTTAATTAAAAAATGAAAGGAGATTATCCCTCTACACAGACAGTGTTGCTCCATCAATCGGAGTGGAAAGTATATTTGGAGACATGACAGAATTGGCAGATGGACCTTGTAATATACCAAATGTCACCAAATGGCACGGTAAAATGTAATACTTCGCGGATGGGGTGGGGGATAAAGACTGGAGTATATTATCTAGAATCTTTTTGAATGGACAATGGACAAATAGGCAAATATCTGTTTTAACACCTACAACGAAGATAATACTGTGGTCCATTGACAGGTTATCCTTCGATCTATGAAAATCTACATTTTATTGCTTTGTGAAACATTTGCAAAGAATACTTCCATTAAGTCATATGAACAGTTATTATAATCTTTTAAATTTTTAAGAAGATATTTGCACAAAGTTCGGAAAAAGTAAAAGTTCCCTTAAATATATGTTAGTACTGAAACCGAAGCCATTTTCCATGCTCTATAAATTTGTTTTTGTTTTTTAACTCAGTATTACCTCGGTTCGAAATCAAAAGAATGCCATGCCATGCCCAAGAACCAATTAATTTCGACCTTGCAGTCAAGTATAATGTTTCTTACATCCATATATCGTACGTATACTCGTATATTTCGCTTTGTATTGAATTCGAATGCGTAGCAACTGGTTTTTATCTGGTTCGAGTGTGCAATTTAGGTATTTCAAATAAACGATTTTCCATACGTCTTATTATGGAATTTATTTTGGGAAATAAACCCAAAATAAGAACAATCCCAATGGGAGACATAACAGAGATATATGTAGCACATACATATCCCGATGTCTCTACGACCCCAAGTGAGGCCAAAAGTTTTTTTTGTATCTCATAAATTCTTTTGTTTTGCTTGTTTTTCCTTGATTTTCTTTGGCGCACACGTAGAAGAAGGAAAACTGGGTAAGAAACAAAAAAAGTGAAAATTCAGTGGGAAAATTGTCGCTGTCTGCGCTCCACTGCGATTACAGCAGCAACGCCAGCAGCAGCAGCAGCAGCAGCAGCAGCAGCAGCCTCAAAACTAATTAGTTGCGCTGCATTCAAGCTGAATTTTACTTTTTCCTCTGGCTCTGGAAAAACGTCTGCAGACTGCAGCCAAGATTGAGTAAGACTTTCCCCGTGCCACTGGCTCCCCCTCTGCTATTGTGCAACTTCCACAGACAGAGAGAAAGAGGTATAGAGAGGGGCGGTGCAGAGATGGGGAGACAAATTCAGTTAACTGTTACACACAGTCACTGACTGACTTAATTCCCTACATTTTTACGATTGCATGAGAGCTCTGTGGATCGCACAGTGGTTTTCATCAGTTGTTTAACTGAAAATAAAGGCTTGCAGATTATCAAAAAATAAACAATATTTAACTTATTGGATAGGAAAAACTCTGAAACGGTAATGAATTAAAAAACGATTTTTCTGTGGAATACTGGATGCTGATTATTCAATACTGATTCGATAAGGCCTCTGCCTGTTACGCGATTGTTGATGTGTGTTTGTCCCCCTATTTAGCTCTCACCACAAATCTCCACATCACAGATTTTTTGTCGATGCAACGATGCCATACTATTTATAAACGCTTAT